TACCACTTCCTCATTATATGTATACCACTTCTAGTTGAAGAGGTTTACTGCTGGTTTCAGTAGTTTAGTGTAGTGATAATTACCTCACTGCTGGTTTCAGTAGTAATTAGATGTTTAGTGGGGCTGCAGTTGTTGGGAGGCATCCGAGAACGAGAGAACTAAACCGTCCTTTTTCCTGTAGAACCACACCACCTCTCTGCGTGTTTCCCTTTTCAAGCGGCAGGCGTCACGCCTTCATCAGCATCCGCTGCGGCCAGGACGGTTGCAAGGCTTCTTCTTCGCCTGAGCGACGACCCTTCCGAGGTGGTGGGTCCCACCCGGTTGTGAACGGGTGACGTAGGAGGACCGAGCGTGCTGGGTGAGCCCTTTTTCATGACCGACCATATTAATCCATGGTCTGTGGTGTCTGGACCCCAGACACGACCTATGGGACTGCCATATATGCCTACATTGGGGTGGTTTTGGGGGTCAATGTAGGCACATATGCGCATATATGGCATACATGAAGTGAAATAGAGGATTGCAAACAAGTTCTAAGTGGAAAGGGAACGCAGGTTGGAGGCCATCGATATTAGGTTGGAGGCCATCGCTATTAGGTTTGGACCGGGTGTGTTGACCTATGTTGACCTTCGGGTGCAGAACAAGCAACGTCATGCGCGACGACTGTTGGGCGTTCTTGCACAACTGTTTTCCGGACCACCATGGACCCGGAGAATTGATCCATGTATGGAAGATCATGTTCCTCAACCCAAGTGGTTTTGGGGTCGTGAATCGGAGGGTACTCAGATTGCAAGCCTGCAAGCAACTCAGCCATTGGAGTTCAGCCGACCCAACCAGACACACCGTTTGGAGAGGCCCCCGAGCTCGTGAGAGGCCCAGCCACACTCTTTGGGACCCTCCATAGTCGGGGACGGGCCCTCCTTCTTTGCAGGGGTCTGGACCCCGAACCAAACCCTTTCCATTTGAGGGTCCAGATTCAGCTTGTATACAGTACATCACTCAGTATACTCTCAGTATAGCAAACTGCAAACTGCGATCCGCCGTGATCTTCTGCTTCACCAGCAATAGAGACAACAGGAACCAGCAATGTGTCATACTTTCAGCCATGTTTCGATATGTCCGAAGCCTCATATTGAACAGTCCAAATAAGCCAAACTGTGAGGATTTTGTTCCGAACTGACTCGGCACATTGCGATTTAAGAAGCCACCCACCACTTCTGTCAGGACCCACCAAAGTATTAGTGTTTAAAAAGGCCCCCAAACAGAAGGACACGTCAGGTGGTTCAGAAAGACCACTGTTTTGAACACCACATGTGCCAGCCCTGTTGGATAATTATAATTACATAACATCCCTCAACCAATCTCATGGAAGCTGAGAGAAGATCAGCTGTGAGGTTTTCAGACGTCCATGATCTGAAGATCAATCCCTGTCCAACAAACTTCGGGCAGCACTTGAGGCCCGAACTGGAGCTCGACACCTCCTCTTCCTCGAGCGCCTCTGCGGCGGCAGCTCCGCCACGCCAGGTGAGTCCGCGGCAGAAGCGGCACAGGCGCAGGCAATGGACGTAGAGGTAGGAACAGGGGCCGCAGTAGCAACCTGGGCGTTCGCGCTCTCCAGGATAGTTGGTGTCATGGTACCAAGTCCCAGAGTGCATGATCATCATCTCCTTGAAGCCACTACAAAAGAAGTGTAGACGATAATTGACTCCCTCAGTTTGGAGGAACAAACACATGGTGATATGATTGATATGATATAACCTTTACCCACCTGTTAGTTTTGTAATGGCCAACCCCCCCCAAAAAATATCTAAAGCGTATCACTCTTGCAGGGTAGGATGGCACACATGAATGTTGCGAAACCGACCAATATGGACAATATGTTGGATCAAACGATCTTTCACAAACAGTCCAACCAGTGAAGCAAGAATATCAAGCTTTAGCTCCAAAACATTCCGAAAATCCCTCCGAGAACTAGTTATCATAGTACTGCTGTTTCCCATACACTCCATGTATGCCATATATATGCCTACATTGACCCCCCTAACCACCCCAATGTAGGCATATATCGCATACATGGAGTGTCTGGGACTGTTTTGGAGTGTGCGGGTCCATGTTTCAAGCGTTTTGAGTAAGCGAAAGAACAACGCGTCATTCTGGGTGAGGCATGCGTCGCACTTTGAATGCGGACGTCCATCGCGAGCGTCTTTAGGAGCCCGGCGCCAGTGTCGAGACACTGGCAGCATTAGGGGGGTGCCACTCAAAAGTTGCAGTTCGCTTGGGGTCCACCAGGGAGTCGCAATGGACTTTGCAGGACAACTGGATATAGGTGACATGGCTGTAGACTCGAACTGAACCGTTTTACAACCCTTACGGGATTCGCAGTTTTGTTACAAGGTCATTCAAGATCAATCGACAGTCTCGTTTGCCTTGTTCTCTTGGGTCGTGGAGTCTTTCGTTTAGCAGTGAAAACCATTTCTTGGTCAAATCTACTCCGTGGGAAACAAATGGAGTCGGACACCTGAAAACGTTGCAAGGACGTTGCAATAGCAGCACTCCAAAACAGCAACAGAATCAGCATGGTTCATGAAGTTTCATGAAGGACATAACCTACATATATATACCAGGGGTCACAAAGGGGTGGTGTTTGGTCCCCAAGTGAGTGGATAATGGGCACCCCTAACCTCCATTATATTATGTATACACTCTTTTTTTGCCACACCCTCTTGTTTCGTGCAAAAACATCCCATGAATAAAACACACACCGTGTCTACGGGTGTCTCGATTCGCCCAGCTCCGTCGCTAAGTGTCACACAGGTCATCATCCAAACGACCTGTCGAGCGGCATGCGGCCGTGAGGCGAGGGACCGGCATGGACGATCAGGCGATTCACAGACTTGATCAGGTGACACGACCCTCTTGGTCAGGCTGTTTTGAGACCCCAACAGGTTGTCTCCTGGGGTCACCGAACTTGTCACTAGCTTCAAGCACCTGTTGGAGGATCTAGGGGTAGGCAATTTGCATGTTCATGTTCGGTGTGAAGTGATCGATGTTTTCTATGTAAGTCACTTGGTTGCACGATGTTGTGTGAAAGCCATCCTGCAGTTTAGAACAGCAGAAACAACAGCCACAGCTTCATGCAAAGGATCCCAAGCAACACCGGCAACATGTTGAAACAATGTTCTGTTCTCTTATTGAAGAAGGCACAGGTGTGGAAAAAATGGGAAGGAATGCCCGGCCCGTGATCTCGTACCATGAATGGTTTGGTGTTCAGGCTTTCCTGTCACAAGAGCAATGATCCAACAAAGAATTGCCTACAGCAGCAGAAAAGCACCTACAGTAATCACGATCCTGCAGTTGATCCAAGCATACATAGGCCCTTGGATTACTTAGATCATGAATGGTTTGGTGCCTTCCAAAGCCTACAGTAGTGGAATAAGACAGCATCTGTCACTGCAAATGGACGCAACCACGGATAGGCTTCACAAATAAAAAATCACACGATATCAATAGGAACATCCACAAGATCTTCAAGATCATCTTGGGTCTGTATACACATGTACTCCACTGGAACTGGAAACACATATCATGCAGGTCTTCCGTTCAACAAGGGTGTTCTGATCTGCCCAGTCTCAACCTAACCAAAAGAACTTGGATACATAATGTCTGTGGTCTGTGTTGTTTTCAAATCAGGTGAGCAGCTGGTTGTAAATCCGCAGAGTTAAACAAAATCGGAGCAGCTTCTCCAATGCTTTCACACTGCGATGAGACTGACAGACCTACCAACTCCTACATCCAATGCAGCTGATCAATCTCGGTCTGCATTAATTTCCCACACCGGTTTTGGTGAGTTCAGGAAGGTATACATATCCATCCTCCATCCGCACCAGCCGTTTCGTCTGGGTCACTAACAACGAATATCTCCAGGACAATCACTCTCCAGGAACCTAGTCTAGACCCTTGATTGAATTCAAGCCTCTAAGCCTGAAGACGTTCTACAATCCAACTATGTTATTACTCTAAAATTACGTATGTTGTTTTTCCCCATTTAAACAATAAATGTCACCAAGAATTCACCAAGAAAATTCCACCTGATGCCTCCTGGTTCAAAAAAGAACGCGTCCTCTTCAGCGGAAAGGAACCCAAAACCGCAAAAACGCTCGCTCCGCTCCAGATCTGCGGCGTCTCGCGCATCTGCGGTCTCGGGTGTCCGGGCGGTCCACCCGAGCTTCTTCATGCCTTCGACGAGGGGATGAAAGTAACCGCGCCTGGGCGAAGAAGCGACGGGGGCTGAAGACGAAGGACCAAGGAGGAACAAAGGAGAGAAGGAGCTGAGCACAAACATATGGGTCATGGTCCGGTTTTGGGATGTATGGTGGACCTTCCATTCCGCACATGTTGGGTTTCTCATGGTTTCTCGGTATTTATATTCCCATTCATACATGGGACAGTAGCTGATGGTTAGTAAAGGCCTTAATCTAAAATAAAGAGAAATAGAGATTTGCATAAAATGATTTGCTTGTTTGCCGACTGTTACAGGTAAGTTCGGACAAACCCAACATGCAATGCATGGTCTGGAAATCGGACACTGAAGAGCTCACCGACGACATGAGCCCTATAGCCGAAAAAAACGGCTTCTCCTGACCCAGGTATAGAAATCAACAGGTACCGGACTGCCAAGTCATCGATGCGAGTGTGTAGCTGGGGTCTCCCCAGGTGTTGCGACCCGGTTCGGTTTAAGAAAACGAGACCAGTCTACCCAGCCAGGGCCAAGGCGAATGACCTGAAACTCACGAAATCGCTCAAAAAAGCCAGGGTTTGTGGTTAGTCACTCTTGGAACCCCCCTTCCATCCCCTTCCCGCCGCAGACCGCGCGCCCGTGGCAAAACCTGGGGCGGCCCAGGCTCCCCATAGCGGAGCATGATCGCCACAAAGCCTTGGTCAAGTGATTCGCTCTGGAAAAACGGTCGCGGAATTTCCGCAGCCTTCGTCAGTTCCGGCTGTTTCGGGCATCTGAGGGAATTCCACTGAAGACTTGCGAAAAGACGTTTTTGTGATCTTCACAGGTCTGCAACCAAGCGACCCATGGCCAAACTGGGACTCAGGAAAGAGAACATGCTATTCACACCAAGGAGATCTTCATGGAAGCTGAGGTCGGTGCCATCAACAACCTGACTGCTGACATCGGAATTTCCAGGGCTTCTCCCTATTTCAGCCACCAAACGGTGCGAGTACTTGGTACCCGACCTGCGCCACGGCGGACCGAAGGCAAAGAGTTCCTTCCCCAGACCAGATGGATGTGACTGGAAGAGTTATTGTTCCATCAATAAGTCATTTTCAATAAGTCAAAAAGAAAAGTGAGCTATTACCAGTCCCATTCGTCTGGTCTGGGTTCTGATTTCATGTGCTGCTCCAGCTTCGGCAGTTGGCCAACCATCTGCATCAACTGCTGGTCTCAAGCAGGACCAGGGTTCCCGGCCCATCCCAAACTGAAATGCAGCTGTGAGGATCATCACCGCCTGGAGAATAGATTTTTGGGGGAAACGGAGTTCGCGGAAATCGTGCGGCTGGTCAAATTTCTATATCTAGTATCGTAGCATCCGGTTGGGAATACAGGTGTGAAGGTTGGTGTGAATTAGAATACCCAGACCGAACGAATGGGATTGGAATAGCTGTATCCTTACTTTTACCTCATGAACGACCCATCCGTGGAAGTGACTCTTCCGGGTCCCGTCTGGGAGAGGGAGAGGTGTCAAGGATGCCCAGGTTTCATTGGTTTCATTCTGCTTCATTCGATCTGAGACCTCTTCTCAAGCTTCTAGAAGGATCGCTCCAGTTCGACCGGCTGTGGATGCAGGATCCTTGTCTGGGAGAAACTAGAATCATAATGACAACGACACGCAAAGAAGACTATTGAACAGACTTGCTTCATTGGAACCCCCTCCGTTGTTTTTTCTTTCTGTAGACCTTCTAGCCACTGGGCTTTGGTCGATTATCGTACGTGGTCAGGGAAAAAGCACCCAATCCAATACAAGAGTCTTCACAAAAGGAAGAAAGCACGTTGCAACTCGATTGTTCAACCAATCCAACTCACCAACTATTGAAACACTCCATGTTTGACATGACTTAAAAGTATACACGGACCCCTTTTCAACCACCCCTGGTCTGGGTGAAAAGATTCCAATCCCACCGGTCGTGTTGGGGAGAGCCAATCTGCCAACCGGTCATGGCACAATGATACCTTGGGCACCACCGCCCCCTGGTGCTTTGAGTCGTTCGCGGCCAATAGGTGGACTGGTCGGGCTCCGGGGACCAAACTCCTGTAGGGTGCAGTAGGTCTTGTGTGCGTCTCCAGCCGCGATGAAGAAACCTCAACCAGCCGTAACCGCCGTGCGTGGACCAATCCAACTTGATGTGCCTGGACAGGTCTCAATGGGAAGCTGAATCATCCCACAGCAAATCGAAGAGGCAGCTGCAAAAGTCCTACCCTGCTGAGCGACTGCTATCTCCTGTTATATAGGCCCACCCAAAGCTGATTCTTACATATTCTTACCATCACCTAGATGTTTCCATGGGTTGCCACACCCACCTGAGTTTCGACTCGCATTACGCTTAAGCAACATGTGATCCATCTGACTTTGCAAGAGCTCTTTGCCACAAGGGACACGTGACGCCTTCAAAGACCCTCTATCTATAGTTGCACTGGATTTGTGGTGTAAAATCCTCAGCAACAATCCTTGTTCGGGATTCAGGCTGGTGGGCCACAAATCATCTAAATAGATGCATGCCGCCCCGCCCCCATCATCAAATGTCTGGGTGTCATCTCTTCAGCAAGACATGGCTGTGGGTCATGTCAACCAAAAAACCCTCCGGGCGCGACTCCCGAAGGTTTCCGGTGTCATCTCTCAGGAGTCACTCGTGGTGTGTTCGGTCCCGGTGTTTTGATCCCAAGGATCTCATGTCTTTTGGGGCTCGGTGCTGAGCCCAAGCAACAAATGCACATGTCAAACTGTTTGCAGCCTTGCCGGGTTCTAACTCATTGCTTCTTAAAGTGTTGGACGACTTTGAGCCGAAAGGTGAACGTGCACGCCCCAGAGTACATTTGTACTGCCAATGACTCAAACCAGCTTGCCTCTTGTCATGATCACTTGGACTACTCACCATCAAGATCCGGAAGGACTGGTATACCCGATATCCACCATCTCCTCTCAAAACGCATTGGCTTCCAAACCTTCTTAGTCACCACCGTGGCCCTTCTAAGCCATGACTACCCCAAAAATACGTCTCCAAACAACACCCTCCGACGCGTGCGCCCGAGTCTTTTCGCCGGTTCCACTAGGCCAGCGTCCATCGGCGGTCCGTCTTGCGGCAGCGCTGCCACAGGTTCTGTGAGGAGGTCCAATCCACCTGAGCCGTGCTTCTTTTCAAAGGTCAAGTGCGTTTTTCTAGTGGTCCCCAAATATTAGATCGAAACGGTATCCAAAACACGACCCGACAGTGGGGATCTACTTCTCTATCAATTTGGGGGTAGACCCACTGCTGGGTGGTCACGGTTGTATTCGGAAACTGGACGGTTGTATTCGGAAACTCGGCGGTTGTATTCGGAAACTCCACAGTTGTATTCGGAAACTCGGCGGTTGTATTCGGAAACTGGAACGGTTGCATTCGGAAACTGGGATTCGGAAACTGCGCGGTTGTATTCGGAAACTGGTATTCGGAAACTGAAGCGGTTGTAATCGGAAACTGGAAGGGTGGTATTCGGAAACTGCACGGTTGTATTCGGAAACTAGTATTCGGAAACTACACGGTTGTATTCGGAAACTGGCATTCGGAAACTGAGACGGTTGTATTCGGAAACTCATATTCGGAAACTCGACGGCTGTAACTGCGGGACCGGAATCTCTCTCCAGTGCGTGTATCTCTATGGCAATGCCAGGAAAACTGCTCTGAACGGATTTTCTCACAAGCGCCAACACCCCCCACACCCCACCCGCCCTCCATGGTACGCAACTATCCACATAA